ATCTCAGAGAGAACAAGGATAAAGAAAAAAGACAGTGCAGGTTTCTGTCTAACCACCAGAGCAGTTGGCAGTAGGGGCTGTTGATAGGGACAGATGAGAGGTCAAGGTCAAGGTCAGCCAGGAGTTCACGGTCATGCTTATAGGTCTCATATGATGAAGCATTAGAGTGAGAAAAAAAAATTAATCAAAAAAAAAAAATCAACCTCTTTCATTCTCATCCTTTCCCAAACCTCCCCCACATCCTACGTATGGAAACACAATCCAGAATTCTTGTGGAAGTATTTTTGTTGACCCAAAAAACAAACTGACATGATGACCTTTCATCCTTTTTCTCTTTACTTGGACCTCTAAACCTCATCCCACAGGATGTCAGTAACAGCCCCAGTGTAGAAAAGAAGTGGTCCAGGTTTGCACAAAATGAGTCAAAGGGTAATCAGGACCCTAAATCTAGCTCCATTTCTGCCTCTTATACTTTCCTCCAGCCCCTGCTATTTTCTAATCCATCTAGAAGCAAACAGGAGAGACTCAGCCATGAGCAAGTTTGGAGACATAGAGAGAGACATTGGTGACTAGGCCCTGCTATTGCCCTCAGAAGAAAATGCTGTAAGAGGAAGAAAAGAGACTGATTGTATGTGAGGCAAATACACTGAAACGCTCCTGATTTTAACCCAAATCCAAACCAGTTGTTGGCCTTGGGACAGGTCATTTTCATCTCTCTGTGACTCAATTTCCTCTTCTGGACAATGGCAGATCTGGAGGAGCCGATCTCTAAGCTGCCCCTAAAGTTGGGCCTTCTGTGGCCTAGCTCACAATCACAGATCTCATTCTGCTGATTAGGCTGGGCTCTCCTTGACGGGAAGAGAAGCCGATGAAAATGCAATCAGAGGGTGATAGACACACTGAATCAAAGGCATGATGTGCTTATTTTGATGAGTGGGAAAGTCCCTGGTCCCTTCTCTGCAAGAAGAAAATGTTCAAGTAACCATGAAACTCACCACAGATTATTCAGCAAATGCCCACTGGCTTTATCATGCTACACGGCATAGAGGATTGGAGACAAAAGGGGTATTGGGGACATCAAAAAGGCACAATCAATTTTTTAAGAGCTTATAAGCTCCCCCTATACAATCCAACCCAAGAATCACAAATATCAAACTGTCTGCTGTGTCCTATATGTAAATATTTTATAATGAAGATGTACATGAGGGTCAGGGAGGGAAGGACTGGGAGTTTGGGATTGGAGAAGTAAACTGTTATATATAGAATGGATAAACAAGGCCCTACTATATGCCACAGGGCTTCCCCTGGTGGCTCAGATGGTAAATAATCCACCTACAATGTAGGATATCCAGGTTCGATCCCTGGGTTGGGAAGATCCCCTGGAGGAAAGAACGGCATCCCACTCCAGTATTCTTGCCTGGAGAACTCTATGGACAGAGGATCCTGGTGGGCTACTGTTTATGGGGTTGCAAAGAGTCAGACAGGATTGAATGACTAACACTTTCATATGCTATATAGCACAGGGAATATCAATATAAATATATATTCAATATCATGTGATAAACCATAATGAAAAAGACTATGAAAAAAGGTACATATATATATATGTATAATATATATTTTGTGTATATATAGGATGTATTATATATACACACCTGAGTCACTTTGCTGTATAGCTGAAATTAATACAACATTGTAAAACAACTATACCTCAATAAAATTTTTAAAAGATGTACATGAGAGTGCACATGTGAGTGCCTGTACTTGGATGTTTGTGTGCACAGTCCTCCTGCCCTGACTCACCCAGTATCTCCACTTGCCTTATCATGAATAATCTCCTGGAGGAAGAAAGCCCTGCGAGATGAGAATTTATCCTCTGGGATGCACTAACCCCCAGTGAGGCCCGAAGCTGCGGGAGATCCAAACATCTGATGAAGTCTTCACCAGATCTTGGCCTCAGGAGTTCAGGGTCAGCAGATAGCAGTGGGGTGGTGGGGGGGTCCCCGGTTCTGCTCTGTGCCCTCCTCGACCATGCCTTCCTCCTTCTTTTCTACTCCTCCCCCAACCCTGCTCCCTGCATGCATTTCCCTCCCCTTCCGGCGACATACTGCCATGTCCCAGACTCTCCTAAGGACAGCAAATTACTCCTATCATTTTTAAAATGTAATCAACTGCATTTGATCCAGCAGGTGCTTTTGTGAGTATGAGTTTAAAAAAAAAAAAAAGCAGATTGAAAAAAGTGGATAAAATATAAATTAAAAAAGAAGAATGGGTCTGGTTACAATCAATAACCACAGAATTATTGACTCCTCTTCCCATTACACTGTGATGCCTCTGTAATCTTGCTGGCAGATTCTATAAAGGACGCATCTGTGCATGATGAGATGTCCATTGTCAAAAGTTATAATTCTCTCCAACACAACTCCCATGACAGCAGCCAGGCAGTTTCTGCAGAGCGATCTGGTGTCTGGGAACCACATGACATCACTCTCTAAAAGCCATTTAGTGTCTCTGCCCCAGGCCCTCTCTGTCCTAAGCAAGTTGGCAAGAGGAAAGAAAGCAGAACCAGAAGCTGCACCTTGGCCCAGCCTGGTGTCCTGAGTTCACGCATTTCAGACTCTCCTTCGCCCTTCCAAACCCCATTTTGGAGAGGCACATGCCTCTACCCTTAGTAGGATGAAGGTCCTACTGAAAAACAACTGGATTATTCACTGAGGAAAAGCTGAAGCTAATCTCTGCTTCCCTGTACAAATTCTCCATGTGGGACTGTGGCTCAAAAGAACAATTTGGCTGAGGGCAGAGCTCAGAGTTGGTTTCCATGGGTTTCTCCAGGGCAGGCGAGGGCAGGTTGTAGTCATGTATCAACTAGGAGAAGCAACTCGCCTGCACAAGGCCCCAGGAAGCCAGGCCCCTTGACAGGAGGGCCCCAGACCTGCCAGGAGTCAAGGAGAACCTCCAACTGGGAGCCCCGGACCCCGGCAGGCAGCCGCTGGCCCAGGGAGTCTTTTGGCGCTCCATGTTTAATCCCCAGGAGACGGTGTGGCCGAATGTGAAGGGCACTGGTCTGGGAGATGTGTGACCCTAACAAAAACCACCTCTCTCTGAGCCTCAGCATCCTCACTGCAGAGGAGAGTGTTGACGGGACAGCCTAACAGGCCCTTCCAACTATGTGACGAGTGACGGTCTCTCCTTCGATGCTGGGTAGGGGTGGGGGCTGGAGCTTCCTTCACCTCTCAGCCATCTCAGCCTGCGGGCTGATGCCCTCGTTCTGACCCCAGGAAGAGCCCCCCCTTCTCCCCAGAGGGGTTCAGGAGTCCCCGTGCTGAAGCAGGACTATTGGGAAGCCTGGGTGGTCCCTGCCCTCAGGGACGCTCTGTCCAAACGGCAAGCAAAGCTCTGCTGGTTTTGATGATGAAGATTTACAGCTAGAAGTGAGTTTCCCTGGCAATATTGTCTGCTGCCTTTATGAGCAGCAATTACATAGCATTTGGTACCTGGGAAGGCAACCGGCGAGAGCTGAAATGGTGAAATGCTCTATCACTCCAAGGAGCACAACGCCTTTGGTAATAAATATTGACGTTCATTAAGACAAAGCCAGAATTCAATCTGTTCTGGGGAATTCTCTGCTTCCGGCCTCCAGAATGGCCCTTATTTACAAGATGTCCCTGAGGGAATGAGACAGGCTGGCTCACCTTGCTCCCCAAGATACATTTTATTCAACCGACTCGTCCTGGGCAAACGTGCATCTGACAAGCCAATTTGAAAATGAATTTGGTACATTTTTTGAGTTGATTATTTATTCTGGAAATGAATGCCCGCTCTGGTCAGGCTGACAGCTCTCAGGATGAGAGAACCCATGCTCACAGCTCCTGTTCCTTGCTTTCTCCCCAAGCAAAAGGGCACAGAATCCAGAGACCCAGCTCTCCCAGCACTGGGGCAGGTGGCCCCTCCAGCTTCACTCACTGGTGCCCAGCCCAGCCTATGTTCACACCGCTGGGGGGAAGGCCAGTGTGCAGAGACCAGGCTTGTGCCTGGGAGAAGTGGCATGGTGTGAAAGCTGGGCAGAGGGAGGGGGGCGTCTACCCGCTCTACCCTACTGGATGGTTTGATCGGACAAACACTTGACTCCCCCTGCCTGGAATCATCATGAGGTCCCCAGGAGAGACCCAGGGAAAGGGTGTGGGGAAGGGAGGGTCTTTCTACACCATTCAACTTCCATTCTCCCTGTTCCTTACTTTCACCATTTCCTCTAGACCTCCATCATGTCAAGATACCTTGGCGAATTTCACTAAAAGGTAATATTTTAGAAGGATGTGCTGAGAGGGCACCCCTTTCATTCCCCCCCCACCCCAGATGTGCTTCCTAGAACTCTCAGGGACCCTGGCTTTCTAGTATAGTCCTGGAAGACTTCCTGTAAGAAGAGGGCTGTGTGGGAAGGATGTAGGAACCATGTTTGGGAGATTCTGAGCTGCTCGTGGCTAAAACCTCCCTGAGGGAAGTTAAGGTCATGGAAGGCCTTGAATGCAAGGCTAAGAAGCCTGGACTCAAAATTTGCCAAGGTGATTAGGTAGCTTTTGCTCAGTGGCTTTCAAGTTACTTTGAGATCATGAGACCATTTGTTCTAATGTACTTTTGTCCAGAGCCTCAATGTACAAAGTAGATAAAAGTGAAGCTATTCCAATCAAACAGATGGAAGACCCAGAGACCTACCCTCTCCCCTCACTCAGTATTTAGTCCCATTAATATCAGGATCACCTGAGCTGCTTGTTGAAAATGCAGGCTTCTAGAACCCTTCACCAGACCCACTGATTCATACCCTACAGAGGTGGTGTCCTGGAATATGCATTTCTTTGTATCACTCTTGGTGGTTGGCAAAGCGCATGGAAGGTTGATCATCATGCTCCAGGGCTTGGCAGGACAGAGGGTAAAAACAGATGCATACCTGACTGGCAGGTAAATCCTGCCCTTGGCTTGACTGTATCCTGACCTGTGTTACTCACCTCCCTGCCACGCACTCGGGTGCGTCTGTGTTCTGGGGCCTCATGTAACTGTTCGTGGTGCTGAACCTGGAGAGGCGGGGAGCAGAGGGAACAGCAGTTATAAAAACCCCACCAACTCCTTAAACCCACACCACTGCTTAGGGCCTCTGTGGCACTAGACACCACAGGCTCTGAAAGCACATGTTTTTAAAGCACCTTGAAATCTATACGCCCACTCCCAACTCCTAGTGTGAAAAGGGTCATCCATTTCCCAGACCAGCTGCGAGAGCAAATAGTTCAGGAGGTTGAAATCAAAGGACCTCAAACCAAAGTTCTTCAGAGACCTGCTCTCTGTCGAGCAGGCCGGGGGGCGGGGGCAGGGGGGCAGGCAGACCCAAGGGGCCCACACTCAGGGGTGCAGTGTGGCTGGAGAGCCGTTTTTCCGGAGCACCAACCTCCAAGCCAGAGCCTGCATGACCCCCACCCGCAAAGGGGCAGCTCCTGCCCGCTCTACCGTGTCATTATTCTGCTTTCCAGATGGAGGGTGAGGGGAAGCGGCCCTGAGCAATTAAGTGTCTAGCCTAAGGTCACGGAGCAAGTCAGCGCAGGCCCTCAGAAAGCACCAGGTCCTCCTGAGGATTCAGGCAGCGAGTGGGCAACGTGCCCTCGGGCATCTGCCTCACGGCACCTTCATCTTGCCTGCCTCAGCAGCCTGGGCTGGCTCTGCCACTGCTCCCACACGGCTCAGCCAGCCCGTCACCACCCTGATCTAAGCCTCCCCTGCCACCCCCAGCCTGGGGCCTCTGGAAATCAGGAGACACCTGCCCAGGTAGGTGACGGCTGTCACGAAGCGAGCCCAGAGAGGAGGAGGAGGAAGAGGGGAAGCCGCAGTATCCGGTTTCATCTTTACTTCTCAGCCCACTAATTGGGGCCGTGATGGGAATGTGAGAGAAACAGGCAGAGTCTCACTAGGACGACAGGGCAGCTGTAAGCCCAGCAGATGGGGTGTCATCGGACAGCCTGTTGTTTGGAACTGACCCCCCAGCACCGCCACCTACCACCATCACTCCTCCTCCTTTTGAGAAACTGCTTCCCTGTCACATCAGCTGTGTGATTCTAACAAGATGCTGATATAACCCCAAAGAGCAGAGATGGTGTGCAATCCAGGTCCAGCCAATTACTGCTCCTCATGCCCTTGGGCATAGCGAAGGTTCAAGGATGGGCCTCGGACCATGTCTGGCCAATCACTGTTCTTCCCTGGGATTTCTTCCAGTCCGAGTATTGCAAGGAGGGTGTAGCTAGAGATGGGAACCTTCCCTGACACCTGAAAAAGACCTCTCTGCAGCAGGAAATAACGAAGCCAAGCAGAGACAGGTAGGGTGTAGACGTAGAGAAAAAGAATCCAGGTGACACCATCTGAGTTCCTTAATCCAGTAGAAGCTGAAGTTCTCAGACACATGTGCCAGTAAATTCCTTTGTTAAAATAAGATAATTCAAACTGAGTTTTCATTAATTGCATCCAAACAGTCCTAATAAATAGAGAGAACCATAGGGCCAACTGTCAAACATAAAACAAGGTGTTTAAGTTGGCATTGAACTCTGACCACAGAGGACAGCAGGCAGCAGGCCTAGAAGAAACTGACTCTGAGCTGCCCCTGCTTTTATTACTTGGGTGATGGGATTTCTTGCTCCTTGAGGTTTTGCCAAAGGGCAGTAGCCCTAAGGGCTCTCTAGTGCCCTATGGAATTGGAAGAGGGAGTGGGTAAGTCTAGCCAAGAGCCAGCCATGGAAGGAACAGGTAGAGTTAGAGCAAAAAAAGGAGAGGGGGAGAGAGAAATCTTCAAAAATGGTGCATACAGATTGAAAACCCCTCCTCTAATTTGAGGCCTGATGAATGGAACTGAAACAACACTCTGCTGCTCACTGAAACTATTCTCTCCAAGGTCAACAATGACAATCTAACTGCTAAATCCTACAGCACAACCTCAGTTGCAATGTGTCCCCACCTGTCTATTATCCTAGAGCACAATTCTTAGTGCTTTCTTTCTTATTTTTAAAAATATTTATTTATTTCCCTGGTGGCTCAGATGGTAAGGAAACTGCCTGCAATGCAGGAGACCTGAGTTCAATCCCTGGATTGGAAAGATCCCCTGGAAGAAGGCATGGCAACCCACTCCAGTATTCTTGCCTGGAGAATCCCATGGACAGAGGAGCCTGGCGGGCTGCAGTCCACGGGTCACAGAGTCGGACATGACTGAGTGAGTAACACACACACACACATTTATTTATTTATTTGGTCTTAGTTGCAACATGTGGGATCTCTAATTGTGACATAAGAATCCTTCATTGTGGCGTTCAGGATCTTTGATCTCAGTTGCAACATCTGAGATCTTTAGTTGTGGTATGTGGGATCTAGGCCCCTGTTCGGGGAGCGAACCTGGACCCCCTGAATTGGGAATAGGGAGTCTTAACCTCTGGACCATCAGGGAAATTCTAGTGTTTCCTTCTTTAAATGCCCCTCTCCCTTGAATTGCAGACTCTGTGCTAACCTAATCCCCATAGTGCCAGGACCATTCTTGTGTCTCCAAGGATGGCTGGCTTTTCTTCTCCCAACACTAAAGTATAGGCACTGCTCTTTATCCTCCCTTCCAGCCTACGTTTCTGCAGAAACCACTCTTCCTGGGCCAGAATCGCTAGCCCTGATCCCTCTCGAAAGCTCCAATTCCCACTCCTAATTCAAAGACTCGTCACCTTTTATCACATCCAGAGCCTTCCCTGAATTTCTCGGTACAGGGAGTGGACCCACAGTTTCCCCAGTAACTCAGGTTCCAAACTTGAGAGCCAGCAAAGACTCTTTTCTTCCCTCCGACCTGCACAGCAGGTCATCCTGGTCTGTAATTTCGTCTACGAATGTCACAGCCTTCTTCCCAGGCTCTTTATTTCTCACTGTTAGTTCCTTAATGTCCTTATCACCTTGTACCTAGACTTTTGCAACAATCTTTTTTTTTGCTCTAGTCAAACATTTTATTCAACAAGCATTTATAGTACAGGGTGCCTTTTATCGACCAAACCCTGTGCAATCTTCACATTCTCTAGTGCAATCTTCACATTCTCTAATTCATTCCAAACACTACAACCAAATTCATCTTCATCAAGTACTACTTTGGTCACATCATCCTGGGGCGCTAAAGCCTTCAATGGCTCCCCATTGCCTGCTGAGTTCAGCCCCCATTCATCAGTCTGTCATTCAAAGTCCTCCATAATTTGTCCCCAACCTACCTTTCTGGACTTATTCCCTACTATTTCCTCTACATAGACCTTATATTCCAGTCAACCTGATCTATTTATTTTTCCTTAAACAAGCATTGCAATTTTCCACTTCTGAGTTTTTGCCTATTCCATTTCCTCTGCATGAAAGTGCCCCCCACTTGGCCTGTGTCTGCTCTTATTCATGTCTCAGAGCTCAGTTCAAACATGATCACCATCTCCTCTTAACACATCTGCCAGAAGTGATTGCTCCACCCTTTAGAATCCTGTTTTTAGCATTTGGATTTGATGCTTTGCATTGTGGATCAGTGACCTGTGTTCTGATTCCCCATCATCAGAGTTCTTACCTGAAGCATCTGTATGAGAATCACAAAGGGGCTTGCTAGAAATACAGGCTCTGGGGACTTCTGAGGGTCTAGTGGTTAAGACCCTGTGTTTCTAGTGCAGGGGGTACAGGTTTGATCCCTGGTCAGGGAAGCTAAGATCCCACACTCCGTGTGGCATGGCAAAAAGACAAAACAGGCTCTGGCACCATGCCCAGAGAACCCACATTCTCAGCATGTACCCCAATGTTATTCTTGTGCATTCAGATCTGACAGCAGCAGCCCTGTGAGACTGTAATTTCCCCAAGGGTAGGGACCACATCTCACCTGGCTGCATAAACATCAACACACCTGGAAACTCAAGTGGAAGGGAAGCTCCGAGATCACTGAGTTCAAACACCAGTCCAGTGCTTGACTATCCTCTCAACATCCCTAATAAGTTAAAATTTACTAAACTTTTCTGATAGCCCAAGTTTTACAAAGAACATTCATCAGTGTTTAGTCTGATCACTGCGGAGAGCCTACTTTATTAGGAGAACCTAGCTCAAGACTCAGAAGAAATCTGTCTCTAATATTGGTACCTTAAATGGTTGTAGTTTTCATGAGAAACTTAGATTCATTTTTGTCTCCTGAATACCAAATTCTGTAATTGATCTCATTCCCTTTTTGTGTTGACCATGGGATACCCGTGGTAAAATCCATGGCCACCACCAGCAGATGGATGGGACTTTATTATCCCACAGGGAGCCTCACATTTGTCTCATCACCTTCTCCTAACCCTGTTTTACTTTTGCATCTTCTTTTTTCAAACCAATTTTTTACTTTATCTTGCCATATCATTTGCATCTTTGCAAACTGTTTTAAATCCTTTGGTAAGAAGACAGTTATAAATAAATAAGATAAATTCCTGAATCTATGGATGTGCAAATGCTTTCTGATTTTTTTTTTAAGATGAGGAGAGAAATTGGGTTGAACGATGAATCTTTGGATTGGCACTTCTGACAGAAAGCAGGGCCAGAAAGAACATATGGAGTAAGTGATGCTCTAAGGTCAGAGTTGTAAAAAATTAGGACTTGCAGAGAAAACATGGATTCAGAAAGGATGATGAAGTTTTAGAACAGGAAGAAATGAGAGTGGTTTTAGAGTATAGTCATAAAAGGCAGAAAGCAAGGAAAAGCTTTTAGAGCAGGAAGAAGTAGTTAAAACAGGGGCAGTTACAGAGAACTAACCGTGGGGTCTTTATACCCAGAGAACGGAGGTCCTAATGCATTGTAGTTCTGAGGCTCCAGTACAGAAGGACTCCTGGTGGGTTCAGAAGGCTGTGTGGAGGAATGAACTTAGGGTCCAGGGAAAAAAGACCTTACCTTTCCCATGATTAAGAAAACTAAAGAAATGCCTCTGGGCTAGAATTGGAGGTTGAAATAAGAGTAAACAAGAAGAGTCAGAAACAATAATAGAAATCTGTCCCACATTGAAGGCATGCCAGATGAATTGAAT